AAGAAGTAGAATGAATTAATTAATAGGGTCAATGATAATAGAGATAAAGTGAAACTAATACAATAAATAATCCAAATGAAGAAATAATTATGAACTATAATATTCAAAATAACAAAGAAAGAAATATAAATAAAGAAACAATAGAAGAAGAAAAGAAAAAGAATAATTACATCAAAAGAAAAACACAAAGAAATAATAAAATTAAATAAAACACTTTGAAACAACAAAACAAATGAACCACCAATGAAATAGTAAAGGAACCAGAAAATCACACAATAAAAATGAATAAATTAGAAATTAAAAAAGTTAAAAAATGACAAAAAGAAAAATATTCAATATACTATTTGTTTACAACATTGATAATTTGAATCAAACTACATTAATATGTGAACAAAGAATAAATAACATTGAGTATACAAATGGAAATAAAATAAAGTGATATGTTAATTCTAAAAATGATAAAGTTGATAATTATTGAAAGATTCAAAATGAATTTTAATTTGAATAGAAAAGAAGAATATATTAAAGAACCACAACATACATTTCATTTGAATAATAAAACATATAACCATTTGTTTTGATTTAGAGAATGATATGATATTTTGTTTATAAAGAAAATGATAAAAAAAAAATGAAAACATAACTCATTTTCATATAAATGAATAAGAAATGTAATTTCTTGAAAAAAATAACCACAATCTTTCACATCAAAACAAGTCATTGTAATTGAAAATATTAAATTACGATTATTTAAAAACAAGAACATTTCAAGTATTAATGAATGAAATGATGAATATAAAAATATATTTCATTCTTGGTTTTATTTCATTTGAAATACTCACATTCAATTAATTAAATAATAAATAATAAGAAAAAAATAGAATTAAGAATAAGTGATAAATAAACATATAATAAAATGAATAAAAATATTCGTTTTTATTAATCATTTCATTGATTTATTTATAATATGAATATAAATGAATGGATATGATAATGTAACAAAATAAGAATAAATAAGGATAATATAAATAAAATAAGATAAAACAAATTATTATATATTTCTTATTTTATTCTTCTTATTTCTATTTTTCTTTTATATTTATTCATTGATTATCATTTCATATTAACAATGATAAATAATAACACAATATATAATAAATAAATGGAAGAAGACAATAAATAATAAATAAAAGAATAAAATATATACAATAATGATGATATTTAACAATTCAACCATACAAATCAGAATCAAATAAGAATAGAATGTGTTGAAACAAATAAAAGAAGTGATAGATGATTATTGAATCAAACACCAATAAAACAATTAAATGAGAAAATAACTAAGAATATAAAATAAAAAGAGATAAATTAGAAATGATAATAGTTCAAGAAATGAAAGGATGATGTGATTCATTATCTATAAAATAGAAAATAATGAGAATTGATTGTTCAATAACCATCAATATATTTAATACATTGAAAGGTACCAATCAAACTAGAAATAATTTATTCAGAAATTAAAGAACAAAAAAAAATTAACATTGCGTCAAATAATATTAATATACAATTTGTATGTATTACCAAAGAAAGAAGTGAAGAATGGAATATTAATGAGAAATCAACTATTAGAATGTTACTTGATCATGTATGTACTATTAAAGAATTATCACAAACTGAATGACTAGTTATTATTATTGAATATTTACATTAATGAGAGATTTGCATATTCAGGAAGAAAGTAACAAATAATATTTGGAAGTATTAGCACTCCAGTAACATTTAGTTCACATACTGAAATATTTATAAACACAACACATTGAACAATGTCTAGTTAATGATAGAAAATGATATGAAGGATGAGGTGAATCAAATTCATTACTATTCGGATTTGTATGAATTGAAAAATTTAATAGAAGATATACAATGTATTGAACAACACTAACAATCAGATTATGAGATGGTATTCAATATTCTAAAAATTAATAAACATTAATAAACATTGATATTTTCAAATTCAAAATAATAATAAAAGAAATAAAAAGAACTGAAAAAAGAATAATAAAAAAATGGATAATGATGATAGATTTAATCAAGTCAATACTCTCATTAGAAAAGAAGGAATAACAATCAAAGGATATTGTGTGAATGATAAAAGAATGATTTGTTTCAGTGATAATAATAGAATCATTTATTATAACATTGATACACAAGAAAGTATAATTCATACACCACCACCATTAATGAAATCAGCACCAATTATTAGTATTGATTGTTATGAAGATTTAATACTCACAATTTCAAGTGATTTCACTGTATTAGTCATTGAAATTGAAACATATCGAGTGTTTTATCGACAAGTGATTTCAGGAGCAACCAAAGGATACTTTTTATCAGCAAGAATCTTTACATTATATTCAAATGATAAAACACTGAGAGTAATTGAATATCCTGATACATCGATTCTTGGATTTGGACAACGAGGACATGTTGATGTATTATCAAATTATGTTTAACACATGTCACAGCAAAAACAAAAGAAGTCGGACAATTTATGTTAGCAACAAGTAAATCAGTATTTTTATGGTTATGTGATTTAAATGATGAGAAAATGAATAGAAATGAATCAAAATATCAGAGTTGTATTCCACCATTCACATGTCCACCAACAGAATATTATCTGTATAAAAAAATCCAAAGTATTTCATCAACACCTATTCTTCAAATTGAAAAGAAGGAAACACTCCCACATCTTTGTATATTACATAATAACACAATAAGTTTGTATGAAGAAAGATTTGATGAAGGGAAATTTAGTATTGAAATAATTCAAGAAATCAAAGTTAAATCACCAATATCTATTATTTGCTGTGATACAATCATTTTAACACAATATAATAATCAAATTAAAGTTAATCAAGGGAATAGAGAGAAAGAAATAATAAATAATACACCAATAGAAGAAATTCAGAATAATGATAAAATGATAGTAATACTCACAATGAATAGATTAAAAAGTATAGACATTCCAACAGAAGAAGAAATGATAG